GCCTGAGTTAAACCTGTGGTTAATCTGTTTGCCTACAAGCCTGAGTTAAACCTGTGGTTAATCTGTTTGCCCACAAGCCTGAGTTAAACCTGTGGTTAATCTGTTTGCCTACAAGCCTGAGTTAAACCTTCCCTGTGGTTAATCTGTTTGCCCACAAGCCTGAGTTAAACCTGTTGTTAATCTGTTTGCCTACAAGCCTGAGTTAAACCTTCCCTGTGGTTAATCTGTTTGCCTACAAGCCTGAGTTAAACCTGTGGTTAATCTGTTTGCCTACAAGCCTGAGTTAAACCTTCCCTGTGGTTAATCTGTTTGCCTACAAGCCTGAGTTAAACCTTCCCTGTGGTTAATCTGTTTGCCTACAAGCCTGAGTTAAACCTTCCCTGTGGTTAATCTGTTTGCCTACAAGCCTGAGTTAACCCTGTGGTTAATCTGTTTGCCTACTTGCCTGAGTTAAACCTGTGGTTAATCTGTTTGCCTACAAGCCTGAGTTAAACCTTCCCTGTGGTTAATCTGTTTGCCTACAAGCCTGAGTTAACCCTGTGGTTAATCTGTTTGCCTACTTGCCTGAGTTAAACCTTCCCTGTGGTTAATCTGTTTGCCTACAAGCCTGAGTTAAACCTTCCCTGTGGTTAATCTGTTTGCCTACAAGCCTGAGTTAACCCTGTGGTTAATCTGTTTGCCTACTTGCCTGAGTTAAACCTGTGGTTAATCTGTTTGCCCACAAGCCTGAGTTAAACCTTCCCTGTGGTTAATCTGTTTGCCTACAAGCCTGAGTTAACCCTGTGGTTAATCTGTTTGCCTACTTGCCTGAGTTAAACCTTCCCTGTGGTTAATCTGTTTGCCTACAAGCCTGAGTTAAACCTTCCCTGTGGTTAATCTGTTTGCCTACAAGCCTGAGTTAACCCTGTGGTTAATCTGTTTGCCTACTTGCCTGAGTTAAACCTTCCCTGTGGTTAATCTGTTTGCCTACAAGCCTGAGTTAAACCTTCCCTGTGGTTAATCTGTTTGCCTACAAGCCTGAGTTAACCCTGTGGTTAATCTGTTTGCCTACTTGCCAGAGTTAACCCTGTGGTTAATCTGTTTGCCTACTTGCCTGAGTTAAACCTGTGGTTAATCTGTTTGCCTACAAGCCTGAGTTAAACCTTCCCTGTGGTTAATCTGTTTGCCTACAAGCCTGAGTTAACCCTGTGGTTAATCTGTTTGCCTACTTGCCTGAGTTAAACCTTCCCTGTGGTTAATCTGTTTGCCTACAAGCCTGAGTTAAACCTTCCCTGTGGTTAATCTGTTTGCCTACAAGCCTGAGTTAACCCTGTGGTTAATCTGTTTGCCTACTTGCCTGAGTTAAACCTGTGGTTAATCTGTTTGCCTACAAGCCTGAGTTAAACCTTCCCTGTGGTTAATCTGTTTGCCTACAAGCCTGAGTTAACCCTGTGGTTAATCTGTTTGCCTACTTGCCTGAGTTAAACCTTCCCTGTGGTTAATCTGTTTGCCTACAAGCCTGAGTTAAACCTGTGGTTAATCTGTTTGCCTACAAGCCTGAGTTAAACCTGTGGTTAATCTGTTTGCCTACAAGCCTGAGTTAAACCTGTGGTTAATCTGTTTGCCCACAAGCCTGAGTTAAACCTGTGGTTAATCTGTTTGCCTACTTGCCTGAGTTAAACCTTCCCTGTGGTTAATCTGTTTGCCTACAAGCCTGAGTTAAACCTGTGGTTAATCTGTTTGCCCACAAGCCTGAGTTAAACATGTGGTTAATCTGTTTGCCCACAAGCCTGAGTTAAACCTGTGGTTAATCTGTTTGCCCACAAGCCTGAGTTAAACCTGTGGTTAATCTGTTTGCCTACAAGCCTGAGTTAAACCTGTGGTTAATCTGTTTGCCTACTTGCCTGAGTTAAACCTGTGGTTAATCTGTTTGCCTACAAGCCTGAGTTAAACCTGTGGTTAATCTGTTTGCCTACTTGCCTGAGTTAAACCTGTGGTTAATCTGTTTGCCTACTTGCCTGAGTTAAACCTGTGGTTAATCTGTTTGTCTACAAGCCTGAGTTAAACCTGTGGTTAATCTGTTTGCCTACAAGCCTGAGTTAACCCTGTGGTTAATCTGTTTGCCTACAAGCCTGAGTTAAACCTGTGGTTAATCTGTTTGCCTACAAGCCTGAGTTAAACCTTCCCTTCCTACAGCATGATCGCCCTGAGTGACATAGCGCCCCGCCCCTTGTGTTTCCGGCTTGTGAGAATGGCCATCGCTTCTCAGTGGGGGGTCATCCTGGGGACCCTGACTCTCTGCCTGGGTCGGGCTGTCCAAGTGACCTGCCCGCCCCACCGCAGGCGCTTGGACCTGGACTGTGCCATGGTGCCGGTGTCCCTGGTGTTTGTGTTTCTATTTCACGCTACAACCGTCGTCATGGCTGACTGGAGCCTGTCAAACCCCCATCAGTACGATGGGCCAGCCAGGTGCTTCATCTTTTTCTCAGATACAGGTACCGTCACGTCAGTTTATCTACCTGTTCTGGGGGGGGGGCTGGGAAGGGTTAGCGTTGTGTTGTATGGAGGGGAGCACTTAAACACTTAAATATATACTCAGCATCTGCTGATTGTGCTAACATAATGGTACAAGTTTAGTAATGTCAAATTGCTATTGACTTTCTGGCCTCGTGTGTGATAATAACGTTTGATATATTCACTACCAGATTCCTTTCCACGTCGCCTGATGGCGTACTTTATCCTGGCAGTGGCGTTCGTTGTCCTGTTGTCCCTGGTTCTCATGATCGGCAATGTGAGGAAATCCCGAGCCCTCCTGGCCATTGGTGCCATGCAGGCCAGAGATGTGCATCGGCTCCAGCCTTTTGCTAGGCCACCCGGAGAACTACCCCCGCCAGATATGCAAGCCAGAGATATGCAAGCCAGAGATATGCAAGCCAGAGATATGCAAGCCAGAGATATGCAAGCCAGAGATATGCAAGCCAGAGATATGCAAGATATGCAAGCCAGAGATATGCGAGCTAGAGATATGCAAGCCACAGATATGCAAGCCAGAGATATGCGAGCTAGAGATATGCAAGCCAGAGATATGCAAGCCAGAGATATGCAAGCCAGAGATATGCAAGCCACAGATATGCAAGCCAGAGATATGCAAGCCAGAGATATGCAAGCCACAGATATGCAAGCCACAGATATGCAAGCCAGAGATATGCAAGCCACAGATATGCAAGCCAGAGATATGCAAGCCAGAGATATGCAAGCCAGAGATATGCAAGATATGAAGACCACAGATATGCAAGCCACAGATATGCAAGCCAGAGATATGCAAGCCAGAGATATGCAAGCCAGAGATATGCAAGATATGAAGACCACAGATATGCAAGCCACAGATATGCAAGCCACAGATATGCAAGTCACAGATATGCAAGATATGGAAGCCACAGATATGCAAGCCAGAGAAATGCAAGTCACAGATATGCAAGCCACAGATATGCAAGGCACAGATATGCAAGCCACAGATATGCAAGCCACAGATATGAAGGCCACAGATATGCAAGTCACAGATATGCAAGCCACAGATATGCAAGCCACAGATATGCAAACCACAGATATGAAGGCCACAGATATGAAGGCCGCAGATATGCAAGCTCGTGATACGCAAGCCAGAGACAAGCAACAGCAGCAGACGTTTGAGCAACCACCAGATTTTCTCCTGACAGCCAGCATGGCATTTTACCCCGACAGGAATACAAATGCTATTCAGACAAGTGGGCAGCAACTGGTCCTTCGCGAGCACCGCCACGTCGTCTGTCCAGTTGTCCAGTCTTCCTCTAGAGAAGACAATTATTACGATCGTGAGCGGCGACGTCACATAGTCCAGTCTCCTCCCCCTCCCGTCTATCAACATCCGGTGTTGCGAGTACAGCATCAGCAGCTGGAACAGGATGTAGAAAACCAGCGCAACGATGGCCACCTGCAGATTCCACACGTTTTTCTGCGTTTTATTTTCCCCCACCGAGAAGGCACAAACAAACCTCGATTTTCCTACACACAAGTAAAGCGGACACGAGAAATCAACGTGCCCACCCAAGTGGCTTCTACCCAGGCGCGCCTACACAAAGTATACCCCAGCGATATCATGTTGTCAATGACGGGCATCCTGTACATCATAGTGTACCTGCCAGTGGCACTGTACCTGTTGTACACAGCGGACACACCAACGTATCGCTTCACGGACGAGTCGTTTCATCCATACGTCATCGCCATCTTGCTCAAAGCAACGTTCGAGTCTCTCATCTATTTTGTTGGACTACAGTGTGTGCCCTACTTGCCCTAACCCTATTTTGTTGGACTACAGTGTGTGCCCTACTTGCCCTAACCCTCATCTATTTTGTTGGACTACAGTGTGTGCCCTACTTGCCCTAACCCTATTTTGTTGGACTACAGTGTGTGCCCTACTTGCCCTAACCCTCATCTATTTTGTTGGACTACAGTGTGTGCCCTACTTGCCCTAACCCTATTTTGTTGGACTACAGTGTGTGCCCTACTTGCCCTAACCCTATTTTGTTGGACTACAGTGTGTGCCCTACTTGCCCTAACCCTCATCTATTTTGTTGGACTACAGTGTGTGCCCTACTTGCCCTAACCCTCATCTATTTTGTTGGACTACAGTGTGTGCCCTACTTGCCCTAACCCTATTTTGTTGGACTACTAGCCAATAGTATATAGGCAACTATTTTGAAAATAAAAATCTCTGCGCAATTAATAACAACAAAACAAGCCATTATTTAGATTTAATTTTTTTAAAATATTTAATTATGTAAGTCAGTTGTAAGTACAAAATTTTAAAATGTGACATTTTTAGGTAGTTTTAACTAGTAGTATTTGGCTTTAAATATATTGAATTATATTGTCCCCTTGAACACCTAATAATACTGTTGTTAAAATTCAATCATTGATTCAATGTAAAATAAAATTAAAAAATTATATTATCTCCTGTATAAAAAATAAACAAATGGATGACATAGAAACCTAATGATAGTTTTTAAGTTGCTCTTTTTGTAACAGTGATCATATGCCTGCCATTCTATACACACATCTTAATGTTCTTATTCAAGAGAAAGTAAAATAAGTGTAGGAGCCACAAATGTAAACACCTGTCTAACACTCATTCATATAAGTAACTCTCTTCTGTCAGAAAATTTGTTTAAAGCGATGCTCCCATTTCTGACCTGCCCCTCCACTTCTGCTGGCTTGTAGATGCCATGTGTCTTCTTCCTCCTCTTCAACTGCCAGACCGTCAGAAGTATGATGAGAATGATAATAGCAATAATAAGAATAAGAATGGCCGCCAAGCCTCCCTCACTTAGATCAGAGGTCGTCACAGTTTGAGGAAGTAATGTTTCACAGTGCTGACCTAGAGAGTACACAAATAAAAAATAAATTTCCTAAGCTCTGTGTAAATTTATTGTTGCTATTTTAGGCCTATGTAGGCACATTTTTAAAAACAAAATCAATTTACTTTTAGACCAACTACTTGGGAACTTTAGTTACACTTTTATTGAATTATTCATTCAATAAATGTGCCATGACAACACTGTTGTAAATCCTACTGTTGTTAGATGTGCACAGCGGTTGTCCACAGTGTTTCTTCCAGACTTTTATCTCGGGGGGGGGGGAGCACTTGATATTTTTGGGGAGGGCGGTCAACATTTTCCAGTGGGGGGGGGGGGGGACACTAGAAAAAGTATATGTTTACTATTAAATTCCATCTCGTTCAAGGGGCGGTAGACTTTATTCGGAAGGGGGGGGGGGGGGCAGAGCCCCCATCTCTTTCGAAGAGATGCCTGGAAGAAACTCTGGTTGTCCATCAGATCCCAATCTCCTACCGTGTGGTCCCATTCTATGATGCCACTTCAGGATCTCACCCAAGAGTCTCACACAAGGCATTCATCTCTATGAACACATATTAGTGTCACACTCAAGGTATTCTACTCTGTTAGTGCCACAAAAGTTTACCTGTGCTGTCATTCCCACAGTGACAGTAGTAGCCACCTAAAAGTTTACCTGTGCTGTCATTCCCACAGTGACAGTAGTAGCCACCTAAAAGTTTACCTGTGCTGTCATTCCCACAGTGACAGTAGTAGCCACCTAAAAGTTTACCTGTGCTGTCATTCCCACAGTGACAGTAGTAGCCACCTAAAAGTTTACCTGTGCTGTCATTCCCACAGTGACAGTAGTAGCCACCTAAAAGTTTACCTGTGCTGTCATTCCCACAGTGACAGTAGTAGCCACCTAAAAGTTTACCTGTGCTGTCATTCCCACAGTGACAGTAGTAGCCACCTAAAAGTTTACCTGTGCTGTCATTCCCACAGTGACAGTAGTAGCCACCTAAAAGTTTACCTGTGCTGTCATTCCCACAGTGACAGTAGTAGCCACCTAAAAGTTTACCTGTGCTGTCATTCCCACAGTGACAGTAGTAGCCACCTAAAAGTTTACCTGTGCTGTCATTCCCACAGTGACAGTAGTAGCCACCTAAAAGTTTACCTGTGCTGTCATTCCCACAGTGACAGTAGTAGCCACCTGGGATGTTGACACACTGTGAGGCTAGATGGCAGCCGTGTGTTTGGTTGGAGCACTCATCCACATCTGTCTGACAGAACTGACCAGTGTAGCCGGTGCTGCTGCAGTTGCAGGACAAGACACCGCTCACATCCAGACAAACTCCATTGTTGGAACAAAATGTAGAACTGCAGCTGTTTAGTTTGGTCTGCAATGAAATTATTTTGCCAAAAAATGCCCGCACATCTTTAACTTTAAAGTTTTTGCAGCTAAAAACTTGCTCAATGTTGCTTTTATCACTTCAAATAAAATTCTTAAATAAAACTTTTGACTTTGCATTCTTGGCTCTAAATTTGACCGCACGTGTTTTTCTTATTTGTGAACATGACAAAGTTTTAAGCAAGTGATAACCCACCTCACAGAAAGTGCCTGTGTAGCCTGTTCCATTACAGACACATGTGTATTGTCTGACACCATCAACACACCTGCCATTAACACACCTGTTGTTGACACAGTCATCAATGTTCTCTGTACAGTTGGCACCTGTGAAACCTGGCCAGATTGTTGTAAACAGACATTTAGTGGTGGCCAGATTGTTGTAAACAGACATTTAGTGGTGGCCAGATTGTTGTAAACAGACATTTAGTGGTGGCCAGATTGTTGTAAACAGACATTTAGTGGTGGCCAGATTGTTGTAAACAGACATTTAGTGGTGGCCAGATTGTTGTAAACAGACATTTAGTGGTGGCCAGATTGTTGTAAACAGACATTTAGTGGCGGCCAGATTGTTGTAAACAGACATTTAGTGGTGGCCAGATTGTTGTAAACAGACATTTAGTGGTGGCCAGATTGTTGTAAACAGACATTTAGTTGTGGCCAGATTGTTATAAGCAGACATTTAGCAGTTGCCAGATTGTTGTAAACAGACATTTAGTGGTGGCCAGATTGTTGTAAACAGACATTTAGTGGTGGCCAGATTGTTGTAAACAGACATTTAGTGGTGGCCAGATTGTTGTAAACAGACATTTAGTGGTGGCCAGATTGTTGTAAACAGACATTTAGTGGTGGCCAGATTGTTGTAAGCAGACATTTAGTGGTGGCCAGATTGTTGTAAACAGACATTTAGTGGCGGCCAGATTGTTGTAAACAGACATTTAGTGGTGGCCAGATTGTTGTAAACAGACATTTAGTGGTGGCCAGATTGTTGTAAACAGACATTTAGTGGTGGCCAGATTGTTGTAAACAGACATTTAGTGGTGGCCAGATTGTTGTAAACAGACATTTAGTGGTGGCCAGATAGTTGTAAACAGACATTTAGTGGTGGCCAGATTGTTGTAAACAGACATTTAGTGGTGGCCAGATTGTTGTAAACAGACATTTAGTGGTGGCCAGATTGTTGTAAACAGACATTTAGTGGCGGCCAGATTGTTGTAAACAGACATTTAGTGGTGGCCAGATTGTTGTAAACAGACATTTAGTGGTGGCCAGATTGTTGTAAACAGACATTTAGTTGTGGCCAGATTGTTATAAGCAGACATTTAGCAGTTGCCAGATTGTTGTAAACAGACATTTAGTGGTGGTATCTTACAACAACACTACAACAAAACTACCACAACACTACAGCAAGCAAAATGTTTGAACCTAACAAAATCATCCTGTACCTGTTCCTGTACAATCACAAGAATAGCCTCCAACTCGATCTATACACACCCCAGCATTGCTGCATGGCTGAAGCTGACAGTCATCTTTGTTCTGCCCACACTCAGCTCCTGTCCAGGCTACTGGACATTGACACTTGTAGGAGCCATCTGTGTTTACACAGGTGCCTGGTTTGGGGGCAGTCAAATATAGAGGGAAATACACTAACAGAATAGATGCCTAGTTTGTAGTCAAATATAGAGGGATATAGACACACAGAATAGATGCCTAGTTTGTAGTCAAATATAGAGGGAAATACACTAACAGAATAGATGCCTAGTTTGTAGTCAAATATAGAGGGATATACACACAGAATAGATGCCTAGTTTGTAGTCAAATATAGAGGGATATACAAACAGAATAGATGACTAGTTTGTAGTCAAATATAGAGGGATATACACACAGAATAGATGCCTAGTTTGTAGTCAAATATAGAGGGATATACAAACAGAATAGATGACTGGTTTGTAGTCAAATATAGAGGGATATACAAACAGAATAGATGCCTGGTTTGTAGTCAAATATAGAGGGATATACACACAGAATAGATGACTGGTTTGGGGCAGTCAAATATAGAGGGATATACACACAGAATAGATGCCTGGTTTGTAGTCAAATATAGAGGGATATAGAAACAGAATAGATGCCTGGTTTGTAGTCAAATATAGAGGGATATACATAAACAGAATAGATGACTGGTTTGTAGTCAAATATAGAGGGATATACAAACAGAATAGATGACTGGTTTGTAGTCAAATATAGAGGGATATAGAAACAGAATAGATGCCTGGTTTGTAGTCAAATATAGAGGGATATACAAACAGAATAGATGCCTTGTTTGTAGTCAAATATAGAGGGATATACAAACAGAATAGATGCCTGGTTTGTAGTCAAATATAGAGGGATATAGAAACAGAATAGATGACTGGTTTGTAGTCAAATATAGAGGGATATACAAACAGAATAGATGCCTGGTTTGTAGTCAAATATAGAGGGATATAGAAACAGAATAGATGACTGGTTTGTAGTTAAATATAGAGGGATATAGAAACAGAATAGATGCCTGGTTTGTAGTCAAATATAGAGGGATATACAAACAGAATAGATGCCTTGTTTGTAGTCAAATATAGAGGGATATACAAACAGAATAGATGCCTGGTTTGTAGTCAAATATAGAGGGATATAGAAACAGAATAGATGACTGGTTTGTAGTTAAATATAGAGGGATATAGAAACAGAATAGATGCCTGGTTTGTAGTCAAATATAGAGGGATATACAAACAGAATAGATGCCTTGTTTGTAGTCAAATATAGAGGGATATACAAACAGAATAGATGCCTGGTTTGTAGTCAAATATAGAGGGAAATAGAAACAGAATAGATGACTGGTTTGTAGTCAAATATAGAGGGATATACAAACAGAATAGATGCCTGGTTTGTAGTCAAATATAGAGGGATATACAAACAGAATAGATGCCTGGTTTGTAGTCAAATATAGAGGGATATAGACAAACAGAATAGATGACTGGTTTGTAGTCAAATATAGAGGGATATACACAAACAGAATAGATGACTGGTTTGTAGTCAAATATAGAGGGATATACAAACAGAATAGATGACTGGTTTGTTGTCAAATATAGAGGGATATAATATAGACAAACAGAATAGATGCATGTGCCTGGTTTGTAGTCAAATATAGAGGGATATACACAAACAGAATAGATGACTGGTTTGTAGTCAAATATAGAGGGATATACAAACAGAATAGAAGCCTGGTTTGTAGTCAAATATAGAGGGATATACACAAACAGAATAGATGCCTGGTTTGTAGTCAAATATAGAGGGATATACAAACAGAATAGAAGCCTGGTTTGTAGTCAAATATAGAGGGATATAGACAAACAGAATAGATGACTGGTTTGTAGTCAAATATAGAGGGATATACACACAGAATAGATGCCTAGTTTGTAGTCAAATATAGAGGAATATACACAAACTGAACAGATGACTGGTTTGTAGTCAAATATAGAGGGATATACACAAACAGAATAGATGCCTGGTTTGTAGTCAAATATAGAGGGATACACAAACAGAATAGATGACTGGTTTGTAGTCAGGGATATACAAACAGAATAGATGCCTGGTTTGTAGTCAAACATAGAGTGATATACACAAACAGAATGAAACATTTATTGCATGTGTATTGCTATAAAAATATTTAAGTAAAATAAAGTTTCTGTTTTTTTTTTTTAAATCAGCTGTCTAAAATAATATACAAAGATTCATGTGATTAACCTCCATTATAACATTTATTTTGTCCTTGACATTCATCATCATCTGTTTGACATAAGCTCCCATGGTAACCAGTGCCAGCACAGTTACAAGAAAAACTGCCAACTGAATTCAGACATGTCCCCTCATGTTGGCAGGGATTCTGTTGGCATTCATCCAGATCATCTGCACACTGCAGGCCTGTGTAACCTGTTCCTGCAGACATGGCAAGATGTTTCTCCTATAAATTATACTTACAGTACAGAGAATACAATTTTCAACATGAATACTCTGTTAGGCCAATATGTCAACATATCTCTATTTTACATTATTGTTATACAATAGATGTTACAGTTTTGAAGGTATTTTTTTTCAAACTAAAAATTAAGCTGCTAAAGATAGAGTAAAATGAACATCCATAAAACAAACATTTTTTTAAAAGCTAGAAAAAGAGACTATACAGTGTCTAGTTTAATTACTTTTAAACCAATGTAAAATAAAGTGTAATTTAAAACCCAACTATATAATTAATTATCAAGTTTTTTACCTGTACAGTTACATAAGTATGAAGGGGAAACAAGAGAGCAGTTTTCTCTCTGAATGCATCTCTGTGTTTGACAAGTTTGATTGAACCATTCACAAGGGCTGTTGACATCTGGACAGCTACACAGACCTCTGTATGTGCAGACACCTTGGTTAAAACATGGCTGGCTGTAGCATGGGTCTGTCAACACTGTACAGTCAGAGCTAGTGAAACTGTAACAACAAACAAACACATAGCTTGATATAGACTTGTTCAAACAGTTTGACATGTGGCACATAGCTTGATATAGACTTGTTCAAACAAGTTTGACATGTGGCACATAGCTTCCTATAGACTTGTTCAAACAAGTTTGATATTGGTTCATGTGGCACATAGCTTGATATAGACTTGTTCAAACAAGTTTGATATGTGGCACATAGCATGATATAGACTTGTTCAAACAAATTTGACATGTGGCACATAGCTTGATATAGACTTGTTCAAACAAATTTGATATGTGGCACATAGCTTGATATAGACTTGTTCAAACAAGTTTGATATTGGTCCATGTGGCACATAGCTTGATGTAGACGGGTTTTTGTGTTAAGTACACCATCTTACATGACTGAAAGTACATGTCAGAAAGAAGTATTACTATTGTAAATCAGTACCAGTCCTCACAAGCCATTGATAAAATCTGTAATACTAAAGCAACCAAGGCAGGGCAAACTGACACTGTAAATTATGTGTGTGTGTAAAAAAAAATTTAAAATTGAAAAAAAAAACTGAAATATAAACGTCAGCACTGTCCTTACCCTGGGGAACACAAGCACCTGTAGGAGTTGACCCCATCAACACAGCTGCCTCCATTTTTACATGGATTACTGGAGCAATCATTGATGTTCTCCCCACACAACATTCCTGTCAAGATCGTTTGTTTTGTTAGATTCATACACAAATACAAACATATGGGTAGCTGTGACAGGTTGTAAGCATGGAATTTGTATTTACTAAGGTGAAAATATAAGGGGAGAGAAGAAAGTGAAATTTTATTTTTAGGTATCCAATGAAAAGCAGTTTAGGTTATTGCATTACTTAATTATTTTTTTAAACTAAGCAGCTTTTTTAAAGAAGAATTTTTGTAAATTAAGTCATGATTTGTTATGTTGGTTATTGTTTGCTTTTGTCTTCAAACAATATGTCATACAATGCAAATCTAAATTTTGAAAAACATGTTGTAATTTAATTTCTATTATATAGTAAATAATGTTTTGGAAATAATATTTTAAAAACACTTCATCAGAAAATTTTCAGATCCACAAGAAATTTAGAAAATTTGTTTAATCTTATAATTTTTAAAATTATATTTTTTTTTAGTGTTTAGGTTTGTGTTTTACTAGAATATATCTCATATTTTGAATTTTAACTACAATTCTGATGTAAATATTTATCTTAAATCAACTGTTTAATAAATAATAGTTGTTTTGTTCAGTCAGAGCAAGTTGAGATGAACACACCTGTATATCCTGGTAGACACAGACAGGTGAAATTGGCCCCACTCCCTAAACACTGGGCATGGTTCAGGCAGGGGTTTGATGTGCAGCCTCTCATGTCCACCTCACAACTCTCACCAGTAAATCCAGCAGTACAGCTACAAGCGTAACTGTTGACCTTATCAAGACATGATCCACCATTTTGGCACGGTCGTGTGCTACACTCATCTATGTTAGCCTGACACAAGCTGCCAGTAAATCCTGGGCTACATGTGCAGGTGAAGCCAAGCGCAGTCAGGCTACACGTTCCACTGTTGGCACACGGCTGAGACTGGCATGGGTTGACAAAAGTTTCACATTGTTTACCTGTGTAGTTCACAGGACACACACAGATGGAGCTGCTACTTGATGCAGGTGTGCTATCCAACATGCAGGTGCCTCCATTAAAACAGGTGTTTGTTGTGCACTGATTCACAGGTACTTCACATGTTGTTCCAGTATACAAGGATGGACATAAGCAAACAAAAGATTCCTGTGTGTTACGACATTGGCCTGAATGTAAGCATGGACTTGATGCACAGTAATCAACAAACTGGCAGTTAGCACCATAGTAACCTGTAGAACAGTTACATGTGAACGTATCTATTTCAAGTAAACAAGATCCATTGTTTAGACATTTATTTTGTAGACAATAATTGTAGCTTTGACACTGCAAACCAAAATATCCGTTGACACACTGACATGTAAAGTTTGTTAAACTGGTGCTTGATGTGACATCTGAAAAGGCTGTCTTAGAGTAGCATGTGCCGCCATTAAAACATGGCTGGGGTATACAGTAATCCTTGAACTCACACTGTGGGCCGGAGTATCCATTCATGCATCTACAGGTATAATTATTGAGTGAGTCCACACAAGTCCCATTATTAAGACAAGGGAAAGAACTGCAGTTGTTAAATTGCTGCTCACAAAATCTCCCTGTATAGCCAGGTAAACAGTCACAGAAAAAGTCCCAGGCATTAAGAGACACACAAGATGACGTCTGATTGGTCACACACATGCTATGGTTGCAGGCTTGGACCGGCGTCTCACAGAACTGACCAGTCCAGTTGTCGCTGCACTGACATGAGTAGGACAGGTGTTGGTCAATGCACAGCCCACCATTCTGGCAGGAATTGTTGACACAATCATCAGAGCTGGTGCTACAGTTTGGGTTGACACAATCATCAGAGCTGGTGCTACAGTTTGAGCCTTCCCATCCTGCCAAACACGGGCACTGGAAGCTGTTCCATTGATCCACACAGTAGGAATTGGCTGGACAGGGGTTGATGAGACACACACTGTCACCCGTACAACCAACAAGTGTATTGGTGGCACTGACCACAGCACCAGGGGAGATGCCATCCACAGCATAAAGCAGGGGCTGGTTGTTGAAGGAGATTGTACCCAGACATCCTTTAAAGTAGCCCACTAGAGTTGAAGCATTGCCTGGGGTGACAGAAGTTGGTCAAAGATTTCATTAAAATGTGTTTATAGAAAATACACACAGAAAATATGTTGGTTTCTTTAAATCAAAGATAATATTTAATAAAACTTAACAGATATGTCTATGTAGCTTTTTTTTATTCTATCAAAGCAATTGCTGTTATATTTTATATTATTCTAAGCTTTTAAATTTAGAAACTTATACTCCTATTTCTACGATTGATTTTATATATTATAAGTTCTTGACATAAGTGTTTAAGATATCAAAGGAAGAGCAATGAAAGTAACAAATAAACATTCTTGACATTAGTGTTTAAGATACCAATAGAAGAGCAATGAAAGGAACAAATAAACAAGTTCTCCAACCTGGATTAACTGGCCTAGCTCCTATATAAATGTACATTGTACTGTTTAAACTCGTGTCAGATGGGTTAAACTGTGCATCAAGAAACAGATTGGTTCCTTCTAAACTAACAACAAAAACTGATTTCTCTCTTCTCCATGATAAGGTGTGCCAGACACCATCTGAGATCTCTATGTCAGATTCTACCAGATCTAAAAATAGATTCGTCATTTTTTGAATGAATGATTTTTTATTTATTTTAAAGTGCAAATTTGTTTAACTAAGATAGCTAAGTTCAAACTTTCTCTAACAAATGAGATCAATTTTACTCACCTTTACTAAAACTGCTATAGATTTGTACCTTGTTGTTGGAGTTTCTTATCTCAATAAAGTTCCCTACAGCACCAGTTGAGTTTAAAAACTGCAGCAACAAAAGAGTTGATGTGGCTTGTCTAGTACGGAACTCCAGCACCCCAGAGTCCCCAAAGGAGAAAAGTGATCTATCTAACAGGACGAAGGAATAACTGCTGACTCCATTAAAACTTGCTGACAGAGCTGAAACAAAGGAATAACTGCTGACTCCATTAAAACTTGCTGACAGAGCTGAAACAAAGGAATAACTGCTGACTCCATTAAAACTTGCTGACAGCTGAAACAAAGCAATAACTGCTGACTCCATTAAAACTTGCTGACAGCTGAAACAAAGCAATAACTGCTGACTCCATTAAAACTTGCTGACAGAGCTGAAACAAAGGAATAACTGCTGACTCCATTAAAACTTGCTGACAGAGCTGAAACAAAGCAATAACTGCTGACTCCATTAAAACTTGCTGACAGAGCAATTTGTGTTTGTGATGGTGTTTGGTCGCTCATGAGATCTTTTACATATGTTAGCAACAAAAGCTTTTATGAATGAAAGCAAATTAGTTTTATTTTATAATTTTCAGTGCATTCAAAAGCTTGTTGCAAGAAAGGTTTTTTATATTTGTTTTTTTCCTGTTTAAGTGTGTTCATTAAATAAAAAATAACTGATTTATATAGAGAGTAGTGCTTAACTACAAGTATGGTTTTTTCAAATGCTTGCCAAGTATGATGCTGAAGAAAATGTAATAAACTTTACCCTGTGAGCAGTTCTCCCCCGTGTAGCCTACAGCACACTGACAAGTTGGACTAGTCCAGCTGAGGCAACAGACACCTTGATTGAGGCAGGTTTTAGACAAGCAAGCCTCTTCTACCTCGCATCCTGCTCTAGCTGGGGCTGGATCATTGCCCAGGGGAGTTGCAACATTTCTTGACAAATCCAGTAAATTATTATTAATTGTCACATTTCGTATACACCCACTGATGCTGTAAAGAAATATAAAATTTGAAATGCATTTCGAAAGACCTACTTTTTAAATTTGTATTAAAACTTTATAAAAGGCATTAAAAGCAGAGCTGATAAGTGCTTTTAACCCTTTCCCCGGCGACTGGGTGTAATCGACCCGAAGTCGCTATATTTTTGCTCATATCTCGAGTCTCGTTTTATAAATTTTTCTGGGCCTCATTCCCATCTATAAGGTGGTTGGGGTCGACACATTAGAGGTTGTAAATTTAAAAAATATGCGTAAAAAATTTTTTTATGAGGGTTTGAAATTTTTTTATACGGTCCCTGGCAACTGGGTGCTACACACCCGTACACAATTTTGAATGGAAAAAATATTTATAACTTATAAACTGGCTTCTAAATATTTGTTTTTACTCATTGTGGGTTAAGCCATTGTGTTACATTTTCAAAGTTTAACTATAAATTAACAATCTGAAGGTATTTGATTAACAAAAATATCAAACCGATTGAAGTAATCAACTTTAGTAACAAAATAATAGAACATTAAGTTCACGTTTTAATAATTTGCACCTCAGAGAGCTCAGTTGTTAGTTAAAATTAAAATAACTGGACATTTCCTTTTGCTGGCAGGGAACTTTAGTTTTTCTTTTTATAAAATATGGGCACCCTTTTAGTGGTGTTACATGAGTCACAGGTCCAAAATATTTTAATTCCATACTTATCGGAATTGCTTGGTATGTATTGGATAAATCTACTCCCACCTCTAAAATCAACCACTTGCTAATTAGTAATGATCTCTCCAGAAACATAACACCTTTCTAAATTTGAATGGAATATCTACCATAATGGAAGCAAATATACCATGAGCCTGATGGACTGTTAGTGTTATTATTGTGAAGTGAATATGACCCAGAAGGTTGCTGAATTTCTTCATAGAAAATTCTGCCTTCAAAAACTTCCATAAGCAGAACTGAATTGACATACAACTAAATTGTTATTCTGCAGAGTGCCAGTGTCTCCTCTTGCTTTCTCTCCATCCCTGCTAATGCAGTCAAATATTGGTTGTATTATTTTTTTGTATTCATGCACAGAAGAAATATTTAGGGTCAGACTGTTTATAAATTTCCTGGGATTAGCACTTCATGCAGTGGTCTAGTGTACTGTTACTTTGTCTTTCCTGAAAATATTTCTTTTTCTTCACTTTGCACCAGCCGTTTCATTTCATTATGAGTGCCAACTGTTGACACATTATTGATAGTTGAAATGCAGTATATTGGGTAGACCTCGTCATCAGAGCTGCTTGATACTTATGGCTGCCATTCTTTATCTTCTACCTCTGATACTAGTAGTTCAGACTCAAAACTTGTTGGTCATTTTCACCTGCTATACTAAAACTGGCAAATACATTCCTTTATCATTAGCACTTGAGTTTAGACAAAAGCGTTCAAGACTTGTTTCTGTTGTGTTCTCAATAACGTTTGTGACTATTTATAAACCTTACTCTCAGGGTCACAACCTGTAGAACACCCACTTCACTTCCAGTTTGATCAATTAATTGCCCAGTATTAACTTACAAGCAGCATTACAAAGTTGTTTTGCCTTTTTGTCCTCATTCGTACTCCTAATGAGGTAAATGTCAAGTTACTCTAAAAGGCTTGAATGTCTCTATCTACATTCCAGAGCTCCCTAAAAGAGTACAAATCACTATATATGTCCTCCCACAGGCAATCTTACCCCTGCATTTCATTAACCTATTGTAACTCTAAACTACAGTTCTGTCTGTAACTGCAAGTCAGAGCTCCAGCAAAGAGTATAAATCACTACATGTGTCCACCCACAGGTTAACTCTTGCTTGAGAATCCCATCAACCTGTAGTATCATATTACAGTCCTCCCATTGTCAACAACATGTCTTGTGTTCCTAATGGCCACAATGCCCTGAATACCTTAACTGTGTCAGTATTGTTACCCACCCCACAATGAACAAAGAAAAGAATTTACTATAAGAAAGTCTTTGGGTGTGATCCACCCAGTTGCCGGGGACAGGGTACCAAATATGTTGCCGGGGAAAGGGTTAAAAATGAATATTTGGGTTATTAAGTCTATTAGTTCTGTGGTGCTGCTTTATAGTGGCAATGGTCCATGCAATATGGAGATGACAGAATGGATGAGGGGTGGGCTCACTTGCTATTGTTACCTATGTTCTCCTAGGTATTACAAATTATAGTGATAGAAAATGTATGTTATAGGGTAGCACTTCTATGTAGAAATTTTAACAAAGTTTTGTGCATATAAAATGTTTGCAACAAATTAGTTTTTAAAAAGTACACTTTGCATATAAAATTAAATAGGCTGACTTCAATTAATAATAGCTGTAATTTGAATTATAGTTCTTACAATGATTAAACTAGATTTAGTTACATAAATATATAGATATCAATCACCTTAACTCTGAAGGCAGCCGAGGATTTCTATTTCTCCACTGGTCAAAAGCTACATGAAGTGCACCAAGATAAATTGGTCCAGTGGCAACAATCTGACTGCTAGCAGTGCCTGTTGCAGGTCCTAGTGGTCCAGATGGAGTAAATGCTGAAAATTTAGAAGTTAAATATTTGAATACATGAATAATAAATTATGCATCCAGTCAAAAAAATAGTCATAAGCTCCTAGATACTCATATATTTACTTAATAATACAAGAATTGATTAAGAACAGCAGAAAAATGATAAAGGAGTTTCCAGTGACACATTTGATATGTGATGACAGAAACTACATCCTGTGTTGTCAGGGGTGAATGTCAAATGCTAGATTTGACAAACCAGTAGATGAGTGAGATTCACTGATAAATTAACAGAATGCAATGTTATGGATGTTGACAACATAGGAAACCAGATTTCAACTAGTGAGTGCGCTATATTCAAGTATTTGGTTCATGTATTTGGTTCAAGTTTTTGGTTCAAGTATTTGGATAGAATCCCAAAATGCCACATTTTATTGATGTCCAAGAGATTGTTGTCCACTGAGATAAGTTTAGCCTTTAATTGTCTAGTAACAGCTAGGAAAGCAAGTAGAGTAGAGGTAAAATCAATGATCCATGACTAAAACATACAAACCATGCAGTGTGTAGAGTTGACCAACAAACTGTAAACTGACCGTGACCCAGCCCTGAAGGTTGCTGCCAAGTTTTAGGACACGGTCACGCCCTGTAGTCTGTGGCACCAGCTGCAAGTGAATCTGACCGTTGTCCAGACTTAGGCTGAACATGTCTGATGTCAGCTGGAGGTAAAGTCAACTGGGTTTTATCATACACAAACATTAATGTGGGGGTGAGTGGTACAGCATGAGTTCAACTCATGGGTAACTGGGTCTTTGAGTACACCCAGCTCTGATGGGTACCTGGCTTACATAAAGGACAGTAAATATGGTTGGTCATAGTCCTGACCACACAATCCTTTACTGTACCCTGTTCTAATTCATCTGCCCATCAGAAAGAGACATTTACTATTCTTATTTTGTTAAAAAAACTAACAACTGTTTTTTATTCAAAACATAGTTTGTTTTGATATGTGCTCCATTTATGTACACTGCTTAATTTATGAGGGTAGACTCTGTTAAATTATGCCTGACAAGTAAAGTCTTTTCATGTTAATATACCAATGTGGTATCTATCGCTGAAATTATAAAACTATATTCATATGAGTATATTTAAAGTAAATCAAATTAATCTAAAAAATTTAGGTTAGCAAGGGTATGAAAATGTATGATACCGTGTATAGCAAGGGTATGAAAATGTATGATACCATGTATAGCAAGGGTATGAAAATGTATGATACCGTGTATAACAGCAGCCCACTTCCATTAGCTGCATTAAACTCAAGTGAAAGCTGGGAGATAACTCCCCTCTCATCAAAGTACAACATGTTTTCCTTGTGAAAATTGGCCATGTTCTGCAGGGCACATGTTGGCCCTGTGAAGCCAGGGACACAGTTACATGACTGGTGTGTCCACATGTCTAGACACTTGCCCCCATTTTTACATGTGCTGTTTAAACATGGCACATGATCAGCGCAGCCAATCAGAGGAGTTGTAACAAGTTCTGGTGTGATGCCACTGTACTGTATGCCATCAGCCAAGTTTACAGCTCTGCTATTGATTATCAAATTCTGAAATTTTAAAAATTACTTACAAATTTTTAAAAATGTATGTTTCTTAAACAATGTGCTACCTAGTTTATTTAAAGGCCTGTTTTAATTAATCAGGTCAAAAGAATAAACACACAATATATATTTTTTAAAATTAACAAAAGAAATTGAAGTAGATGATGATGTTTGAGCAATGCTACCAGCCTCAGATCAACTGTTTTTATACATTTAAGTAAGTTAAAAATGACAGTTGTGGCTTACCCCTAAACATCCAATGAAATAGCTGTTCTGGAGAAGAATATTTCTGATGTATGGGGTGATGGTTTTCACCCCACCAAAATAAAAGACCCCATCAAAGTTCCAAGCAGTTGAGTTAACAAAGTCCATCTGTCTGTCACAGCTGCTGGTTGTGGAACACATGTTTGAATCCAGTGTTAATTTACAGTACTGATCCGCCATTCTGATCAGCACTGTATGACTTTGTATGGTTGATGGCTGGTCAGGTAAAAGGATAGAATTTCTCTGTACCTGCTCCCCATTGCTGGCAGAGATATAAAGTCTGGAGCTGAGCAGTTCTAATAGTAGGTGCTGAGGTAGATATGCTTTGGAATTCTGAAAATAGCATTAACTATTGTTTAATGATTATAAAATAAACGTTAAAAATTCTATAAATCTAATTCAGTGATGCTACATTTAATGTCAGAAAAATCTTTTCTTTGTTTTAAACTGATATGTATAATTTACATTTAAATTTTTTTTTAAAATAAGTAAAATAAAGAATTGCCTATTTTGACTCTTGATTTTTTTTTTAATGTAACATTGAAAAGTCCCTTAACTCACCCCTGTAAGTACTAGGATAACTCCATCTAAGACTGTTGTTGTAAATGTAAACTGGATTGTTATAACTGCACCGGTTGAGCTGAGCTCTTGGTTGATGTTTTCAATAAACTTATCAGTCAATGAGGTAAATGTGAGGAAGTCATTCCCATCAAAGGTTGCAGTTTTTATAATTTCACAGTTGGTGCCTGCCACCCCAGCAGGACATGAGCAGGAATACATGGCCAGCTGGGGCTCTAAACAAGTGCCAGCATTCAGGCAGGGGGAGGGGGAGCACTCTTGGATATCCTCAGTACACACAGGTCCTTAAATGTAAACACTAACATTAACAGAGGTCTTTAAATGTAAACACTAACAGTACACAGAGGTCCTTAAAGGTAAACACTAGCATTAACAGAGGTTCTTAAATGAAAACAATAACATTACTTTGAGGTCCCTAAATGTAAACACTATAATTACTTTGAGGTTCTTTAATGTAAACACTAACTGTACACAAATCTTTAAATTTAAACATTAAAAGTACAAAGTAATCCTTAAATTTAAACATGTACAGCACATAGAAACCCGTAAATTAAAATAATAAAATTTCACTTAAGGATTACAGAAATTATCCTAATATTATATTAAGTTTAAGTTGACCTTTAGTTATTCACCTACCTGTTAGTCCAGGTAAACAGACGCATGTGAAATTATTAATTTTATCTACACATGTTGATCCATTAGCACACGGTGCAGATAGACATTCATTAATATCTGACTCACAAGCAACACCTGGAGGTTTTTAAGACAGAATTTTTTATTTTAAAACATTCGTCTACTCTTTCTTTATCTCACCTGTGTAGCCAGGTAAAATTATGAGTTATCTCACCTGTGTAGCCAGGTAAAATAATGAGTTATCTCACCTGTCTAGCCAGGTAAAATTATGAGTTATCTCACCTGTGTAGCCAGATAAAATTATGAGTTATCTCACCTGTGTAGCCAGGTAAAATTATGAGTTATCTCACCTGTTTAGTCAAGTAAAATTATGAGTTATCTCACCTGTGTAGCCAGGTAAACACTGACAGACAAATCCATCGGTCACATCCAAACATGTACCATTGTTTCTGCAAGGCTGGAAGATGCACTCATCAATATTATAATCGCATGTTGGATCTAAAACAATGGTGAATTAAAATTTGTTGCAGGGCAAAGGAAAAAGTAAAGATGATGTGAATGTGTTTAAATTTTCTTTTATACACAACAAAATACGTGTAACAACATACTGTGTTGCAAATAAATTTTATCAAACTTATTTATATTGTCCAAATCATCATCATCCCTCCTTTGTGGCCCCTGGGGAGCAAAGGGCTGCAACCAAATATTGTCCAAATAGTCAGTTTTGTTAAACTTACTTGTGTAGCCCACAGGACACTGACATTTGAAGTAGCCAATGAAATCCAGACATGTAGCTCCGTTCTGGCAAGGGTTAGAGAGACAGTCATCAATATTTTCTTGACATGTCTCACCTGTCCATCCCACCTGACACTGACAACTGTACCTGTTGATGCCATCTATGCATGTGGCATTGTTATGGCAGGGCTTTAGGGTGGTGCACTCATCCACATTGGTCTCACACGACAAACCTACAACAATAGATCTGTAAATAGTGCTCTCAGCTACAACAAACCTAAAACAATAGATCTGTAAATAGTGCTCTCAGCTACAACAAACCTAAAACAATAGATCTGTGAATAGTGCTCTCAGCTACAACAAACCTAAAACAATAGATCTGTGAATAGTGCTCTCAGCTACAACAAACCTAAAACAATAGATCTATAAATAGTGCTCTCAGCTACAACAAACCTAAAACAATAGATCTGTGAATAGTGCTCTCAGCTACAACAAACCTACAACAATAGATCTGTGAATAGTGCTCTCAACTACAACAAACCTACAACAATAGATCTTTATTTCAGTTACTTCTTGAAACAACAAACATCAATAAAATATTTTCGACTTTCTTGTACAAGTTTGCATATGTACCAATGTAAAAAAAAAACTGTATATTTGAAAAATTGTCATGCCCTTCTATTACCTGTGTATCCAGGTAAACAGTTGCAGGTAAAGTTTATCCCATCCGTCTCATCAATACAGGTGGCATTATTTTGGCATGGATTTGGGTCACAACTAGAGAGTTTTGTAGAGCAATTGCTGCCAGTAAAACCTATAAATAGAGGCAAGTCCAATCAGTGGGGGAATCTTGTTTTCTGCTTTTTTTTTCTTAATGTCTAAGTAGAAATAAATGAAAGGCACAATGTGTACAAAATCATAGTTTACAGCTGTTTGGATATTAATGATTCACTTTACTTTGATATTGAAAAATATAAATCTTCTTGAGCTATAAAATTTATTAAAATTTTTCCACTTTTACTTTAAACTGCTAACAGTAAAAACAACTTTCTTGACGAACAAACATACATAAATATTACGAAAACATCAATAAATTAACAAAACGTATTATTGATTTTTTTCTCTCATTGTTTAGCAATTCCTGACTATAGATTTATTAGGCCTACTAGTGTTTCTAATGAGAGTATATAAATTACAAAAGGTTTACCAGCAGTGCAAATGCATGAAGATGGTCGACCAATTCCTTCAAGACAAGTTCCCCCATTCACACAAGAATATGTGTTACACTCTACAATGTCTGTTTCACATCTTGCCCCAGTCCAGTAAACTGGACACACGCAACTGAAACATTTACAATTTGCTGAGTAATAAGTCAATAAATATCCAATTGTCAATCTACCAAGTCAATAAATATCCAATTGTCAATCTACCAAGTCAATAAATATCCAATTGTCAATCTACCAAGTCAATAAATATCCAATTGTCAATCTACCAAGTCAATAAATATCCAATTGTCAATCTACCAAGTCAATAAATATCCAATTGTCAATCTACCAAGTCAATAAATATCCAATTGTCAATCTACCAAGTAAATAAATACCCAATTGTCAATCTACCAGGTCGATAAAAATTCAAACAATATCTGATGTTCTAGTTAGAGCAAAGCAGATATCTAAAAAGAAAAGGTGTAAACTAACAAATATCCTGGTGATCTGTTAATACATTGTCCATTATTGACACAAATAGATGGAACAGCTAAGCATTCGTTGATGTCTTGACCACAGTTGGGGCCAGTCCATCCAGGTAAACATACACAGCTATAATCTGGTGTAGTGGCATACAGCATATTTTGTATTGTCAAAAACATATTAGTTAAAACATTTTATAGAAAATTAAGTTAAACATAATCTTTAATAATTCTAATTATATCATACTATTTTATTTCAGGATTCTTTCATGTTTAAAATGCAAGAGAATACAGGCCACACTATACATATGTTATGTGTAGTGAAATCCATGTAATTATTATATGTATTGTTTTCTAGGTTTTGTTGTTTACTTAACACCCTCAAATATTCATCTGTTATAAGAGTTAATTATGTAGGAAATGTTGTGCTTTTGTATGTAGGGTATAGAAGATTAAGGTTACATTAACAAGACCATTTATAGACTAAAAATGTGTTTCTCTGCTTTACTTTAGTTACAGACTTGCATTGTTAACCACCAGCAACCCAGAGTAGGCCTATTTGTTATAGACTTTTTAAAGAAACATATTGTACTTTCATTTGAGCAGAAACAGGACTTACCCAGAATGCCCTGAGATGAACAGGTTCCTCCATTATGACAGGGACTGGACATACAGGCTGTCAGCTCCTGCTCACAGAGTGTCCCTGTAAATTTGGCTGGGCAGGCACACTTCAAGTTTCTCAAAGCTTCTTCTGTGTTGACCGAGGATCTGTTGACAGATGCCACTTGACCAAGATAAGAAAGGTCCACGCATGTCCCACCATTCTGGCATGGGTTAACTAGACAGTCATAGACGTCTGCTTCACAGCGTGCTCCTACATAACCCTGCACACAGGCACAGCCGTAACTGCTTGCATTAACCCTGTAGCAGGTGCCACCAAACAGGCAAGGACTAGGTGTGCAAGGGTCAAGGCTGGTGCCACAGTTCTGGCCAGTAAATGGAGGTAGACATTGGCAGATATAAGCTCCTTCTATAAATAGACATGAGCCATTATTGAGACAAGAAGGAGCTACTCTACAGTCAAAGACGTCTGTCTCACAAATCTTCCCAGTGGTGCCTGGTGGACATTCACATCTGGCAACACAAATTCAAAAGGTTAACGAACCACGTTAATTAACACATTTAGCAACACAAATTCAAAAGGTTAATGAACTACGTTAATTAACACATTTAGCAACACAAATTCAAAAGGTTAATGAACTACGTTAATTAACACATTTAGCAACACAAATTCAAAAGGTTAATGAACTACGTTAATTAACACATTTAGCAACACAAATTCAAAAGGTTAATGAACTACATTAATTAACACATTTAGCAACACAAATTCAAAAGGTTAATGAACTACGTTAATTAACACATTTAGCAACACAAATTCAAAAGGTTAATGAACCACGTTAATTAAAGGTAAACTTAATTTGTATTCATTAGTCCCTCTAAAAGTTTTATGTGCCTGACTAAGTCAGAGAGAAAAATAAAAAGATGGAAGTATTTGGAAGGTTCAAACCAGCTATTTTCTGACATTTCTCAACATAATTAGTTAAGCCAGTCATGGACTGACCAGAGTGATGTCCAGTAAAATAAAGGCCTACCTGTAATCGTTTAGAAGATCTACACAGACTTGCTGGCCTTGACATGGATTACTCTGACATTCGTTGTAGTTGGTCTGACAGAGAGGGCCAACAAATCCAGCCACACACTGACAGCTGAAGGTGTTTGGCTGGCCTTCAGTGCAGCTCCCATTGTTCAGGCAGGGATTGCTAGAGCACTCATTGATGTCTGTTTCACAGTGGGCACCAGTGTAACCTGTGTAACAGTACAATGTTACAGTATAATTTGTTTCTCAATGTTACAGTATAATTTGTATCTCAATGTTACAGTATAATTTGTATCTCAATGTTACAGTATAATTTGTTTCTCAATGTTACAGTACATTTGTATCTCAATGTTACAGTACATTTGTATCTCAATGTTACAGTACATTTGTACCTCAATGTTACAGTATAATTTGTTTCTCAATGTTACAGTACATTTGTATCTCAATGTTACAGTACAATTTGTATCTCAATGTTATAGTACAATTTGTATCTCAATGTTACAGTATAATTTGTATCTCAATGTTACAGTACAATTTGTATCTCAATGTTACAGTACAATTTGTATCTCAATGTTATAGTACAATTTGTATCTCAATGTTACAGTATAATTTGTATCTCAATGTTACAGTACAATTTGTATCTCAATGTTACAGTACAATTTGTATCTCAATGTTACAGTACAATTTGTATCTCAATGTTACAGTATAATTTGTATCTCAATGTTACAGTATAATTTAAATCTGTAAGTAAAATTATTTAAGGGAGTTCAGTTATCATAGCACATTCAGTTGAGTAAAACAATAAAACATTATGTAAGCATTAAATGTTAAAAACGTGTACTACATGAGTCTTTTAAAAATTAAATTCAAATGAAAAACATTTTATCTTCGAGAATATTTAACAACTAACCTGGTGCACATATACAAGAGTAGTTGATTGCATAATTCACACAAGTTGCTCCATTCAGGCATGGCATTGTGACACATAAATTCACCTCAAATTCACAATGATCACCATAGTATCCAGGTTTACAAAAACACTTATAACCACCTGATAGAAAGTAATTATAGAGAACATAGTAGGATTGCATTGTATAAAGAGCTAACTAAATTGTGCAACTCATTTATTTACACATAAATAATAAAATCCAAAAGTAGGAGCTTGAGATGAAGGGGTATGGGTGCTATAATGTTAGGGCTGTGAGTCTTTATCCTCATTTATTTCTGGGCTAAAATAACCTTTTTTAAAAAAATATAATATAAACCATCAATTGATTCATTTGAATGTTGTAGACCTACACACCTAAAGTTTTATCCACTTATGTTTAAACACATCTAGATTTGTACATACCTAATGGTTTATCCACTGATGGTTGTAGCCTACATACCTAATGGTTTATCCACTGATGGTTGTAGCCTACATACCTAATGGTTTATCCACTGATGGTTGTAGCCTACATACCTAATGGTTTATCCACTGATGGTTGTAGCCTACATACCTAATGGTTTATCTACTGATGGTTGTAGCCTACATACCTAATGGTTTATCTACTGATGATTGTAGCCTACATACCTAATGGTTTAACCAGTGATAGTTGTACATACCTAATGGTTTATCAACACAAATGCCATCATCCCCACAAGGACTCTGAATCTGACACTGACGAATGACCCCCTGGCACTGTGGACCTTCAAACTCTGGCAGACATTGACAACGGAAGTTGTTGATCAGGTCGATGCATGTTCCCCCAAAGTAGCAGGGGCTGCTGGCACACTCATCAATCTCAGAGGCACAGAGTTCCCCTGTGTAGCCTAGAGGAGATCACACATGATGTTATACAACAGCTTAAAACAAGAAAATACAAGAACTCATAGTAGAATAAAGTGTAAACAGTGGCAACTTACCAGGAGCACACTGGCACAGATATGGCAACTTACCAGGAGCACACTGGCACAGATATGAGCCAACTGTGTTGACACAGGAAGCTCCATTGAGACAAAGAGATGAGTTGAGGCTGCACTCATTGATGTCTTCAACACAGGGACTGGTGCCACAGTCTAGACTAGAGCTGGGTGCTTCACCTGCTGTGTACAGGCAAAAACTATTTCTCATTGTAATATACATTCTATAATATTTTTCTATTTATTGTAATATACATTCTATAATATTTTTCTATTTATTGTAATATACATTCTAGAATATTTTTCTATTTATTGTAATATACATTCTAGAATATTTTTCTATTTATTGTAATATTCATTTTATAATATTTTTCTATTTATTGTAATATTTAATTTTATTCTATAATATTTTTCAAATTTATTGTAATAAATGTGTAAATTTTTTTTATTTATTGGTATATGTAACCTATTGTAATCTATCATTGTATGTAATCAGTAACCTATTGTAATATTGTAATCTATCATTGTATCTCATCAGTTACCTATTGTAATATTGTAATCTATCATTGTAAGTCTTCAATAACCTATTGTAATATTGTACTCTATCATTGTATGTAATCAGTAACCTATTGTAATATTGTAATCTATCATTGTAAGTCTTCAATAACCTATTGTAATATTGTAATCTATCATTGTAAGTCTTCAATAACCTATTGTAATATTGTAATCTATCATTGTATGTAATCAGTAACCTATTGTAATATTGTAATATATCATTGTATCTCATCAGTTACCTATTGTAATATTGTAATCTATCATTGTAAGTCTTCAATAACCTATTGTAATATTGTAATCTATCATTGTATGTAATATTGTAATACTGGAGGATGCCTGTATGTTTTGTATCCACAGCTGACTATGTGACCCTCTTCCCCCCCCCCCCCCCCCCCCCATGCATGCTCTACTTTTTGGTGTGTATAGAAAACGAATGTGAGTAGACCAAGAGTAGAGAGCTCACCCTAGCTTGCCAGTAACTGACATAATATAATTATGACATTCACATATATGTTCACAGGCATAACCATGACATTCACAGATAATGTTCACAGGCATAACCCTGACATTCACAGATAATGTTCACAGGCATAACCATGACATTTCCCAGAGTAGACCAAGAGTAGAGAGCTCACCCTAGCTTGCCAGTAACTGACATAATATAATTATGACATTCACATATATGTTCACAGGCATAACCATGACATTCACAGATAATGTTCACAGGCATAACCATGACATTCACAGATAATGTTCACAGGCATAATCATGACATTCACAGATAATGTTCACAGGCATAACCATGACATTCACAGATAATGTTCACAGGCATAACCATGACATTTCCCAGAGTAAAAAGATCGATCACCAAACTAGTTCAACTGTAGACCAGATTGGTTTGTTTTTTATTATTAACAATAGAATCAATACAGAAGATGGGTGTGTTTACAGTCGGCAATAACAGAGAAGTTGTATTGATGGGAAGAGGTAGCGATATAATTACCATATGTAAGCCTATTTATAGAGGCAGCAAATTGGCCTATTGATGTGTTATATAATTACCAGGGCGTAGCAAGGGGGGGGGCGAGGGTGACACCAAGGCAAAAAATAGCAAAATATATAGAGAAAAATTTGAGGAGTGGGGGGGGGGGGTGCACATCGAAAATTCGTCCCCGGGAAGGGTCGCTACGCCTCTGGGGGTGACACCATTAAGTGCTGCACCGGGTGACACCCGACCTCGCTACGCCACTGATAATTACCAAATGTATTTCTTGTGACATCTGTTGGCCAATTGATGTGAAGGGGTAAGGATATAATGCCATTTGTATTTCTAGAGACATCTGTAGGCATATCTATGGACTTAATATTCATATCGGTCCCGATTGGGCTAATTCAGTATATGTGGTCAAGAAAAAAAGGACGTCACGCAATTTTAACCACTCCCCCCCCCCCCCCGCCCCCCAAACAAATTGTCGTTACACGTAAACAGAACAAGCCTTCGCCTCTTACCTAGAGATATGTCCTTAACTCTAACAACAACAGAAAAAGCCATTAAAATCATATTTATACCATAAACAAATGAGATATGTGACGTAATGTTACAGAAAAAAAGAGATATGACGTCAGTGTGAAGTATAATTGAAATGCCTACCTGCAAACATGACGCAGTTTTCTATTATCCAGACGGTCATTAGCCAACGAAAGATGGCCATCATCTCTCATCGTCATTGTTGTTTTTCATTTAAGTCAAGGAAGAGAAAAGTACCAACATTCGTCAAACAGAGAAAAGTACCAAGATTCGTCAAGATCTATTGAGGTTGAACCAGTCCGGTTGTTTAAACTGGAAAAAGTAGGTTTGAGAACAATTTCACTTGGTATTAATCATCTGCAACAGCCAGATGCGTAATTGTCATAATTGATGGATCCAGCACTGCTAGAGGAGGAGCTAACACCTGGTAGAGGTGGAGCTAACACCTGCTAGAGGAGGAGCTAACACCTGGTGAAGGTGGAGCTATCACCTACTAGAGGTGGAGCTATCACCTGGTGAAGGTGGAGCTATCACCTGGTGAAGGTGGAGCTATCACCTACTAGGGGTGGAGCTAACACCTGCTAGAGGTGGAGCTAACACGGGTGAGATATGCTGAGAGATAAGTCTCCAGCTTTGGTGACATAAACACCGCTACTCCTCCAGTTGTGTATGAACGATAGACTCTAGATGTGTAACACGCTCAAACGGTGTGTGCTAGCACACATTCAATGCACACATCGGGCTAGCAAGGCAGTGAATGACAGGGAGAAATAAAAATGTATAGCCGCCCATCTGGTGAGTCAAATATTGTTTTACTTTCCCAGTCACAGCTGCGCCATCAATACGAGAGTTATCGAACGTAGATAACCCAGTAAAAACCTGAGCAGATTGCTGGCTTATTGCGAGCTTTAGAAATCCATGCTTGCAATTAGATATCAGCTAATTAATGGCTACTGATGATAATTGCTCAGATTTTAACAATTGGACACGTTTAATTAGTGCTAATGTTAATTAATTATGATGTCATGAAGTCTTTCGTACAAATTTTAAGGGAGTATTTTATAGTTTTACAGTTGTTACATGATCAATTAACTAAAGTGATAAGAAATTGTCAACAATTGACTCAGCGAAATATATATTAACAATTAGGTGACGGTTGTAAATCGTATGTTTAAACTAGGAGTATTAGGATTAAAGTAGTAAAATCAATGAGATTATACTTAAGCTATTGGCCACACTCTCTGACGTCATATTGTGTCTGTATGAAGCGCGTTTCCAACATAAACTAGGAAAGCTATTGGTGTCAGTGGTGTGGGTAGAGGAGTGAGTGTTTGGGGATTATAACCCCCCCCCCCCCCCACCATGTATCCCCATGATAAATGTTGTCTAGCTTTGAGTCACATCTGTTGGCATTGGATTGATTGGTTTTGTTTACAATTTTAACCCCCCCCCCCCCCACACACACACGCACACACAATTTTACGTTTTTTAAATCAATACATAAATATAGGCCTATATATATATATATATATATATATATATATATATATATATATATATATATATATATATATATATATATATATATATTTATCGAACCCTCCTCCCACGAGAAAATCCCGCGTACGCCACTGATTTCAGTTTTTCTAGTGGCCAAAGTATGACACACACATTTTAATCGCTACAGTCATTTAGGTGGAAAATCTGGCGTTGTATCATGAAACTTTGTGTAGAATCCATCCAAGCCAGCAATAATCTGCTATGACACATTCAATCGATATGAAGAAAACAGCGATCTATGGGATAAAAACAGCAAGCCCCTAGTCCTGTTAGAGCGAAGGATCTTAAGTCTTCTGTAGTATACAAGCCAGAAAATAATAAGTGTATAACAAATAAGCTTCTGGTGATAATTTACGTCACAGAGGTCAACATTATACCTACAAAAGCAAAATGCATATCCAATATATCTTATAAAACACATCATACAAATAAATACACCCAACACATCACATAAATTATACACCCTACACATCACACGTTATATACGTATATACGAAGGTGTAGAGCGTTCTTCTGCTGATTATCCCTAGCCAGAGTCGTATATGCCGAGGTCACAGAAACAGGTCCGTGTGCCGCAAAATCTCACATCATCATCATCATCATCTTCTCACGTTCACAAAGTCATACATCATCATCATCTTCACACGTTCACAAAGTCATACATCATCATCATCTTCACACGTTCACAAAGTCTCACATCATCATCTTCACACGTTCACAGTCTCACATCATCATCATCATCTTCTTACGTTCACAAAGTCATACATCATCATCATCTTCACACGTTCACAGTCTCACATCATCATCATCATCTTCTTACGTTCACAAAGTCTCACATCATCATCATCTTCACACGTTCACAGTCTCACATCATCATTATTATCATCTCGTAACTCGTTACTTTGATCTACAGACACCCCAATGTCTTTTTCAAAAGTAAAAAAAAATATTTACCAAGAACACAGTTTCTTAAAAGCATCTCTTTGAGGAGGGGGGTGGGGGGTGGGGGCGGACTGAAATCTCCAGGCGGGGGGGGGGGGGGCGCGGACAGTGTTAAAAGTATATATTTCCTATATAAAATCCATTTCGTTCGGGGGGGGGGGGGCGGTCCCGAAGTAATTCCTGGAAGAAACTCTGCTCATTTACTTTATTAGGTTATCACTTAATTTAACACATAGCCTGAAGGTGTATGGGAACATTTTTTAAAACCGCAAGCATGACTAATACCCCCCCCCCCCCCCCCCGACGCTACTACAACTAACATTAACTGACATGGCCCGCGTTACGCGTTAGTGTAGGGCCGTGGTGGTGTCAAGATACAGCCAATATAGGGCTAAGATGTTGTCAATATGTGAATGTATGGCCAACATTAGATCAATATAGGGGTGCTGGCTGGTAGTATCACAAAAAAATAATTGACTTCAGTGTTTCTTTTTTCGGGGGGGGGGGGGGTGCGGACACTGGTAAAAGTATATATTTTCGATATAGACTAACTTCGAAGAGATGCCAGGAAGAAACTCATATCATTTAATTAATTTAAAACAATATTTTGTTGCCTTACATTTGTCTACGAAATTATAAATGTAACTATACGCGTTTTCGTTCTGCTTACAATGGTTTAGTTGGTTTTCAGAATTAATTTCTAGTTATTGTATTTTGTTAGTTACTTGGGGGTGGGTTGTCCTTAAAGCTTATCCAATTTGTGTTTATTCTCCCTTTTTCAACTGTGGACGATCTCTTCCCCCCCCCCCCCCCCCCACCATTAAAAATAAACTGATGTTTTTTTTTTTGTTTTTTTTTTATCTAGGCATCAAGCCTATTTCATTTATGAGAATTGGCGAAATTTCTTTTGTTGGACAATCAATTTTGCCGGGTTAGCAATAGGGTTAACATTTTAACTTCTAATTTTAATGATATAATAACTCTACACTCTACACATAGGCCTACACTAGGCCAATCATCAAATTGTTATTACTAGACTGCCATAAAAATCACGAAATCTAGATCTAGCAGTTTAAAAAATCTAAACTTGGCTGTTTGTAAACACGAGCTCATCATTTCAGAAAAACAAAAAATCCACAATAAAATGGCGAGTTCTACTGATCTGAACATAGCAAGGAAACATTTAGCTGATGTATTGGGCGATTCAATGAAACTGTAAGTTTTAAGAAGCGTTAAACTTATTGTATTTAGTAAGGCTATGCTACCGCAATACTTATTAAAGTTTTTGTTCGGCTATTACTATTAACTTTCTTGTATGATTCGGTTATTTTAGTTGCGTTGGCTTGGTTCCGTTCTCGCTCCCTGCCCTTTCTTAAGTTTCTTCATCATTTGATTCATTTTCATGTCTTCTTATAATTATTAGATCTAATTAATAATTTGCTTCTGCCGTTGATAAGTGTTAAACTAGATCTAGATGTCTAAATCTAGATTCTAGATAAATGCTGATCTCAATTTCTGTCATCATAAACTTTTACATAAGGCTGCATTTGGGTAATCCCTTAGTTTAGCGTCGGTTATTATTCCGGAATCGTATAGCAGTAAAAAACAGTGAAACAATAACAAAGTCTGTCACACACTTCCGGAATTCACCATAAGTACCGTAAACCATACTTTATTTGGGGTCTTCTTTTATTTTTAAACAGAATGTTTAAAATTTGGATAGATTTATTTTTGTAATCATTTTTACATTTTGTAATCATTTTTACTATTTTCGTAATCTAGATTTTTTTACTTGGCCTAGCAGCTAGATATCTAGCTAGATCTAGATTTAATTAATTAATGGTCGCAAATCCGCTGCAAGCCAAAAACATTAAATTATTACATTTGATACATTATTTATATTTATATAGATCTATGTTTTTATTTTTAGATCTACTAATTTAAATCTACTATTATATTTATTCTTGTTTCCTTTTGTCGATTAAACTTAAAAAATTAAAACATTAATTTACTACAATCGACTTTCAATTTATTTATATTTCAATGGTCAAATAAACCATGGTTTACCGTAACTCTAATTACCGAAACTCAACAAACATTACCCGATAATTTCCGACGCTAAACTAAGGGATTACCTGCATTTGTGTGGTTCGCTCAACGTTGTGCGTAGGGCCGCATTCGCGCGGTTCGCTCCGCATTATGCTAGATCTAGAATATATATCTTTACCCTATACTATCTAAAAAAAACAGATATCAGGACTGCCCGATTTTTTTTCGTGGTAGCAATTTAATGTTGATAGTAGATCTAAGTCTATATTACCTATCCTATGTGAACGTTTAAAAAATTTCATTTTGCTTGAGGGGGGGGGGGGGAGGGAAGAGAGAAGTGAAGGCAGACGATCTCTTGAACTTGTGTTCATTCTATAACGTATGCTTTAGGCCTGCTGAACTCACAGTGACCTCGCCGACCGTAGACCGTGGTGGGATTTTCCACTCACGGGATAGTAAAAGTAAGGCAAGCAAGCAACCACGCCAGTGACGATGTTTGGAAATTTTATTGAAATAATAGAATAACACGTCATGTTTTCAATATGAAAAAAAACAAAATGTAAAAAGAAACCAGTTTTGGTTGTGCTAACCCCGGGTTTGAACTCGGAGCTGCAGGTCAATGAACTAAAGTTTATAGCTGGCACACTGTTGACTCATCCACACAGGATGTGTCACAATTGGAAAATGTAAGCATTTTCAATCACAAGATGGCAAATCCAACCTGTAGGACGCGTAGTCTCTTCCTTACGGGCCATGCTCTGAGAGATGCGTAGTCACTTCGTAAACATAACGTCATAAGAAATAAAGTTATACATTACAATTTTACAATCAGTATAGTGTAGGAGGTAGATTCTCTAAGAATAAAAATTCAATGCTAGAATACTCTAGTCTAGACTAGAGATTATCTTAAATTATCTAAGACTAGGAGATAAGATTTCTAGAATGATAAGACTGTAGGCCTAATCTTTTAGCTTTTGGCTTTTTAACAAATAGATTTAAACAAAATTAGCAAATTTAAAATGTTAAGCCTAAGTTTATGTCAATTTAAAATTGTTTTTATTTATTTTTTAATAGGTATCTTCAAAATTTAAATGCATGGTTCAAAAAAAAGGTAAGAAATTATTTAATGCTTCTATATATTCTGTAATTACTGTTTATGTTGTATTAAAGTTTTAACATTTATCCTTAATACTTAATAATATTCATCATTTTTTGCACTGTTCAATCAGATTATGTCTTAGATAACTTTATATAGAATATAATTGATTTGCTGTGTAGCCTGTACAGTTATAATGTCTAATAGTCTAATATAACATATCCACTTTTGATTTTCAGAACATGTTGCTTGAACTTTGAACACTTTAGTTTTTTACATAGGTTATATTTTACAGATATTTTGAAATCACCATTCAATCTTAAATGCTTTCAAAAACATATTTTGAATTAATTTTTTCATGCCTTTTTTCATCTTAAGGTTAATAAGGAGGAGTTTGATTTTGAGGCTCGAAAACTAATGAGAAATGATACAGGTAAGTAGTTAGAAATGTATAAGATCTCTTGTGATTGCCTAGTTTGTTGCTGTGTATATAAAACCTATGAATAATCTGTTTCTTTTCAGTACATTTACACAATGAGTTTTTACTTGCTTTAATGGCCAAATGTCAAATACTATCATCATCCTCTGTCAGTAAGTAGCTCAAAAATTAACAATTTGTTGGTTTTAAAAATTACATTAATTTTTGTATTTCATTATTAAATACTAGTAACTCCTTTCAAATTTCAGTAGAACTGAAAAGGATAAAAAAAATTTAGTTCAAACTAAAGGTTGTTAAAGTTAAACTCTTGACTATACATCACAGTTTAAAAGTTTTTTTTTGTTTAACCAAGCCTCCAAGGAGCAAGTAGGTTGTGGGAAAGTTCAAAAGACTGGGAAAGTAAAGAAGAAACCTCCAGGTGGAAGAGCTAATTTACAAGTAAGCAAATTTACAACATATTTAGTTAATAATCGTGCCATTTTAATAGTTATCTAAGCATTTTAATTTTTAGAACATCATGTGATAAATTGAAATTAGATTGAATATTGTTAAGTACAGATATTTTTTTAAAGTAATAATGTATTTGATGTAATTATTACAGCAAAGATTTATTCAGGCACAAACTATAGATTATGTTCCACAAATCACTAGCAAGGCTCTTGAAGAAGGAGCAAGTCCCACTCCTTTAGGTAAAATTGCTTTTCTTTAGTTTTAGCATTCTACTTAGGAAAATGAAAATCATTATGATTAATTTATCTTATGCAGTATAGTTTAATGCCTTTAATTACTTATTTTTATTGTGTAGAAATTGAAATCAATGTTCTGTTGCATAGGTTTTGTGTCCAGAGAAGGTCTAATGCCTGATGCAGCCATGGTTCATGGTCGAATGCTGGTCTGTGCATGGGAAACAGGTCTTGCTGATGTTCAGGACAGTGCTGTCAAATTACTCATGCTTTCTCTTGAAGTTTGTACCTTTTTCTGTTTATTGTTTCATTTAGGCATTATATTACCCTTATAACAAAATATTAGTTTTACCAAGTAAATTTTAATTTAAGAAGTTTGATAAGATAATTGTTCAATAGAAATTTTTCCAAATGAATATTTTTACCTGAGAGATTCAGGGGAAAATTCAATAGTTCACTGATGAAAATATTTCTTCTAACTAAATGACAAAATAAAATTTTCACCTAGTTGTACTTAAGTTACCATTTTTTAATGATAATGTATTCATATTCTGCTAAATACTAATGGCATTAACCTGTATAAAGCAGATAGATCACATTAACTATTAAAGCTTTACATTTTTTTTAATTAATAAGAGACCAGCTTTGTTTTGTTAGTGTTTTTTTTACATCTCATTGCAAGTTAGGAGAAAGTAATAAAGCTGATGCCAGTTTTACTAACCTTAGTTATTTCCTGCTTTACAATTAGTAAATTATAATGAACAAGATAAATTAGTTTAGCATTACTGACTTTGATTTTTCATCACAATGTCTTATGTTAAACCTCATTCATTTTATCATAAGAACCATGTCCATGTCTTTTTCTATTTATAAGGTCTTTATATAATTTATATTAGAGAAATTGTTTTGATAAAATTTTATTGTTGCCAGACTCAGCTGAAATATATCCTGTCTTTGGTAATACAACAACGAAAGGGCTATAAGTTAAGAGAAAACAGATTTGTGTATGCAACTGGTATTGGAGTAAAAAATCCTTATGCAAGGAACATTCATTGTACCATGGATTTAACAACAGAAAGGTATCAAAGCAATTTTATGTTTAATTTAATTTATGAGTTCTAAAAATGATATATAAAAAATTATTTTATAGCATTTTAAAAATAAATAAATTATTTTTTCTGTTTAAAGCTGATAGTAGTGTTCCTGTACCTTCTTTACTTATAATTGGTATTTACTACCTTTATGGATTAGATCAAACAGTTGTTGTTTCAGTAATTCCCCTTTATACAGCATCATTTCAAATCTTCTAATATGTTAGTGGTATTTGTTCCATGCATTCATTTAAATAAGATGCTTAAAAAATGTACAATTATTGCAAGTGAAAATTTAACAGTTAAATAGTCATGTAGTTTAAATAAAAAAATATGTCTTAAGCAAATGTAGAGTAACATTTGTTTCAAATTATCATTTCTAGAATTAGAACCTGTTTTTATCATACGATATAATCATTTTTATTAATCTAAAAGTCACAGTATTGAAGGCAGTTAATGCAAATTAACTGTTTCAAACTTTTGTTCCTAATCGTATCAATCCTCCATCAGTTTCTCCTTCTATCTGGGGCATATTTTCTAACTCAGTTTTCTTTTTAAATCTAATGTTGGACAACCGAGCTGTCAGACTTTTCCCTTCTTACAAGCTTTTATTTAACTGGCTTCCTCTGTCTGGCGTCATAGATTGAAACTGGCCAGCAAAATTTCAAGCACTTGTGACTGACCAATTCGTTTGAAAGTTGGCACATGGGTCGGGACTTAAAGACAGTGCAATTTGACATCAAATTTGACTTAATTATATGACTAATTAATTTTTTATAAATTAATTAAAATTTTCTGAAATTAGTAGGCTGTCTTACTATTGAAGTATGTAAATATATCAATGTTTTTTTGTTGTTCTTTTTTATAATTTTAGCAATGCCACCACCATCACAGGCAATTTCCAGCATGCTCCTAGTCTTAGACCATCAATTGAGATTGGTGAAGATATTGCAGCTGAACAAAATGCCCTGGGATCTGAAGCTGCTACTGATGATCTTGAACCTATTTCTATGTATGACTTGTGTGATACTTTAATGGTGAGGTCAAGGACAAACTTGTTTGCTTATTCTTGAGTTAATAGAGTATAAATTAAACATTATATAAAGAGCATCTAAAATTTGATTCAACTCTAATATCATTTACTTCTTCAAGCAAGGTATTTTTATATCCATAGAATGTAGATCAAAATTTTTCTAAGGTATAGCTTCTGATTGAAAATTATTTTATTTCAGCTTTACAGGAATGCTATAGTTTCACACTCTGTATATGCTCCTACTATAGAGAGGGTAATTCATATGAAGTGGCATCCAAGTCATGAAGAATTGGATCAAGAGAGCATTCATGAACAAGAGCTATTTTTGAAACACAAGCTGGCTAAAAGGAAAGATTTTGATGAATGATAGGAGTGAGACACATTATTTTGTATTACTTTTTCTCACATTAAAATAAATTTTTCAATTTTTGATTGGGTTTATTCTTCAAATTTATTTACTGTTGACGCAAAAGAAACTTGCATAGAAATCTTTTTTTTTTTTAAATAAATATTTATTGTCATATTTTGTAAAAAATCATATTTAAAAAAATTTAAATTGATTTTCAAACTGTCCACAACATTTGTCCATAATTTTATATAATAATAAATCTGGAGTAATCAAAACTGCCATTTGTAAATAGTCAGAGACAAATATTGAGATTAATTACAATAATAAAATAATGGTAAATTGAAATAAATGTCACTAATCATGGAATCACAGTTATTTTACATCACAGGTGATATTCATTTTAAAACAATGTAAATAATTTCTGGTTATGTTACAAAAACAATGGAAGATTACAATTGGTTCTCTAAAATATATACAAAACACAACAGGTTTAATTAGCTCTATGACAATCACAATAAAGGTATTGTGTTTGGGAATAAAGACATTGAAATATATTCCAAGATATTGTCCTTGTAAATCAAGCATCACTTGGATAAAAAAGCATCTGAAGGAACTGTAGGTCAATTTCTAGTGATAATTATTAGGCTCTTTATGTCTGCTCTCAAATTTTTTGTTATGGAAATCTATTCATGGCATTTAAATACAATCAAAGTTAAAATGTTACTTATCACACTGTTATTTTAACATATTTTTATTAGCAGCTGTTACTTTTTTTGACTTCTAAAGCTAAGTTCATTTCAGTATTGTTTTTCATTTGGTACTTTTTCCTGAGAAAAATGTTGCACAGGACCATCAGTAGACCAGCTAGTATCATAAAACCTCCACCTAAGTAAAATGCTTCATCGTAACTGCCAAAAGCATCCTTGAAAGCACCTGCAGTTGTTTGAGTGGAAAAGAATAAGTTAATGTCACATTAAAACATGCCTGCCTCTAATATTACCAAATAAGAAATGTTTAGAGTAAATTGAAAACTAGAAAAGAAGACTTGAGATATTGAGTTGAATGTTTACCTGAGAGTGGTGGCCCCACACATGTCCCTATAGCCTGGAAACATATCAGGAGACCAAATGAACTTGCTAGATGTTCAACCCCCAGGATATCTACAACAAGAACTGACTTTTGGGATATGTAAGCTCCACTTAATGTGCCATATACACAACACAACACACATAGCCATAAGAAACTAGAAAAGAATGGCATGGTGAAGGACACTGCTGCTAAACAAAATACAAAAAAGTTATAGACAACTGGTCTAAACTGACGTAGTGATGGTATATCTAAAATAATGCCGGCCACTATCCGCCCTAAAGTGTCAAACACACCAGACAAAGATAAAACAAGGGCTGCTTCATTATCTGAAAGGCCTTTACTTTTAACGAGGGCTGGAATAAATGTGAAGGCTGCCTTAAAAGCTGACGTAAACAGCATAATACTAACACAAAACAAACTAAAGGAGGCATCTTTCAGTAATGATAAATGAAGCAAGTGCCTAAATTTTTCTTTTTCTTGCTTTCTGTTTTCTTTTGGAAAACAAATCTTAAGGGAAGACTTTAACCACCCATCTTTTTTAACATAATGTGGTCTGGGAGGAAATGATGGTATTTGTAAATGATTATTTTCATCAACTGGAGATCCATCTTGAATTGAATCTATTTGTTCATTAAGTTCCTTGTTTTCTGATAGCAGTGATGTCACGAATGGAGTATCCAGATCTTTATTTCTGTAAAATTATTTAATTATCTTTTTACTGATACTTTAAACTGTGTTACAGACACAGTTATTTGTCAAACATGTTACTGGCAAAGTGCAGAATATAAAGTTGTAATATGTAATTTTTTGGTGTGTAGGATAAGGTTTCTAATGCAAAACAAGTATTTTTTAAAATATCTTTTTAGTGATAAGTTAACCCTTGAAGAATATTTGCTAAATGCAAGTCTATGATACTTATGTATGTAGGAGTGAAGGTAAAGTTAATACAGAATGTGGTAAGATCTTTTAAAAAATACATTATGTTAAAAACTGAATCCACATATGATGCCAGCCAAAAAAAAAACAATTACTAACATATCGGCATTAAAAAAATAATTCTGCCATTAAGTAGCCTATGAGAGAGCTGTGTACATCATATATTCCTAATAAGTACTCATTATTTTAAATGTTAATGTTTTAATAAAGCTGTTTACTTTTCAAGCTTTGGCTTGATCACAAATGCAGCTCTGTTTTCTAAATAATGTATTTGCAGAAGAAGAATATTCAGCTCTTTAATGGTAATATATCAACATGCATTTAAATATAGCTACTGTTACATTACATATATTTTACCTCTGCTGTCCAGTAAATTTGAAATGTAAGCTGAGAGGCCGATACAGCATAGCTACCACTAACCCATTCAATGAAATAGCACTTTGGATAAGAAATGAACCCTATAAAGAGCAGAAATCAAAATAATAAACATCATTAGCTGTGATACTTCTCACCCTATACTATAATGTAATGTCATAATATAATACAGCAGCTATCCCACATACAATCCCAGTAGGACATGTCATCCCACACAATCACAATTTGATATGCCATCCAGCAACAGCCATCCATTTCACAATTGGGAATACATTTAGCTGTCTATTTATACCATTTAATCATGACAGCAAATATTACAAACACTTACTTGAAAATCATATGTGTCAAACAGCCATTGTGTGAATGGTACAATACAAAATGTCCCAACTCCAACGCCAGAACACCCTAGCCCAGCCGCCAAGCCTCTATGTTTGTCAAAGTACATACCAACAATAATAAGAGAAGGGGCATACATCAGTCCTCTACCAAATCCTGAAGGGTTAATTTAAGAACCAATTGTTACATTAAGAATTTAAGTTTCCTAAATAGGAAAGTAATCAATTAAAGTCATTACATATATAAAAATGATGTTGCTATTGCTGAGAGTTTACATTTTGATAAATCAAGAAAACTTGCCTTGCAGAGCAGAATGGGAAAAAAACAAGAAGTAAAAATCTGGAGAAAATGCATTCAGCATTGTTCCCAATGTCATGAATAAAGTACCAACAATGACAGTTGTTCTGACACTATAACGGCTACTTAAGGCCCCCGCCAATGGACCTTGAATAAAAAAACAAAAGAAATATTAATTGATTTAAGAATAGAGAAATTCATCTAAATATCCAATAAATGTAAAATTATTGAATCAAAAGTTGTACAAAGTGTGTAAATATGAGTGAAATAAAATACTTAAAAAAAACTTTTTAAAAAACCACGTTTTTCTTGTGGACTAAGAAGTAGAAAATAACTATTTACATACATTTGATGACAAAAAACGTGGGTACGTTCACCATCAAATTTCCCGACCCATCTGCCCGACCCACGTTTTTTGTCATCAAATGTATGTAAATAGTTATTTTCTACTTTTTAGTCCACAAGAAAAACGTGGTTTTTTAAAAAGTTTTTTTTAAGTATTTTATTTTCTCCTTTTTAGTCCGTTGCTACACATGAAAAACGTGGTTTTTAAAAAAGTTTTTTATATAGTTTATTTTCTACTTTATCTAATGACTTGATTAAGTATGAATTGACTAAGTGTTTATAAATACACGGACTAAAAAAATCTTGAGCGACCAGGATTCGAACCTGGGTTGTCGCGGCCACAACGCGAAGTACTAACCACTATACGATCACGGCCAGCGCGCTCACATCGATTGGGGCCGAAGTAACTGTGTCTATAAGCCTCCAGTCTTGTCGGTATCTTTAGAAATCATGTCCTCAATTTTATGGTCCTTGGGGCGTAATTAAATTAAGCTAATTACCGTCTCTAATTGCTAGTTTTTATGATTGCATCTGAAATTGTTAGGCGAAAGTAGCCTACATGCCAAATTTCAGATCTATTGAGCAATCAGAAGTGGGTTAATTTTCGATGTCAATTTTAACAACAAACACACGCGAAGCTGAGTTAATAAAAACGTGTTAAAATGACCATTGTTAGACCTAGAAAGAGCCTAATTGTAGACACCAAGGCTCCTGGCCAAGAAGTTAACTGAGCATTTTTCCCATATCTTTCTGTAAATTGTAGAAAATATATTCCATCATTCCTCTCCAAACCACCTGCAAAGTGAAATAATTAAACACACAGTAAGACTAGGTTTGTAGACATTCATTGGAAGAAGTAACTAAATGACACTGGGCTTATGTTTATATTTAAACTACTTTAATCTGTATATTTATTTTCAAACATAACACAATGTGTGAATGTAATCTTTTATAAATAACAGTTACTTTCTTTCAAAAACTGATCTATTTTCTATTATAACCTGTTTTAAAAGTAAATATACAATTATATAGATGTGATGTATGCTTGAACCTACTTAATGCATTCCACACTGACTTACCAATGATAACATGAGCCAGAAAACAACCTAGTACAATAAACCAGCCGTACCCACCATCAGGTACTTTTTTTGGTTTTGATTCCATATTAACAGCTTCTACCTTTTTAAGTCATAATATTCCCCTGAAGGTAGGAAAATGGTCTGGACTGTAAGTAGTTTTGGGATTTTTATGTCAAAAAACAATTTTCTGATGAATAAAAAAGGAAAGAAATAATTAAAAACATAAAAATCTAATTTCAAACCATGACCAGGCA